CATGCAGATTGAACAAGTAAAACTGTCTTTATTTGCAGATGACCAATTGACTATGTAGAAAACTAAACAGAATCTACAAAAAGGTCACTAGAACTAACATGTAAATTTAGCAAGGGTGTAGAATACCAGATAAATATTCTATATAATAAAAGGCTAATATGCAAATCGACCAAACAATGGAACAACAGGTTGCTATGATGTGCAATGACTACCAGGGGGCAGACACTGAACCCAGGAGCTGTCCCGTGGTGGTCAGTGCGCTCCCACAGGGGAGCGCCACTCAACCAAAGCTGGGCTCACAGCTGGCGAGTGCAGTGGTGGTGGTGGGAGCCTCTCCTGCCTCTGAGGCAGCTCTAAGGATGTCCGACAGCCGGCTCAGGCTTGCTCCCCATGGAGAGCAGGCCTAAGCCATCAGTCAGACATCCCCTGAGGGCTCCCGGACTGTGAGAGGGTGCAGGCCAGGCTAAGCGACCTCCCTGAGGGCAAAAATTTTGTGCACTAGGCATCTAATATAAAAATAAATTGTAAAACTTCTGGTTACAGCCCTGATATGTACAGAGCTTAGAAGACGTCATTCCCATTGTTAGAAGAAGAAAAAGATGACTAAACTGAAAATCAAAGACTTTTTGTGAAAACATCAGGATAGTGAGGTGCCGAGTGTGTTGGCACCCTAAAATATGAGAAGAAAGGCAAATCCAGAGTCACAACTGAGGTATGCTCACCTGGAGCAGAAGCCTCTTAAATCATAAATGATTAAAACATTTAAATGATAGTGATCATGCATTACTAGAAGCTGAGTGTGCAATAACATGAGAGTGAGAAGATCCTAGGGGCCACATACTTCAGGGTGTTTACATCCAGGAACCCCATTTGGTTCTCACTGTGAAGATCTGAAAAAGCATCCCTTGTGCCTCTGACAGAGAAAGAGGGATTACTGTAAAATATGCCCAGAGCCTTCCCCATAATAAGGCTTACTCTTCATGTGAAAAGACTTTACCAGAGCTTATCCCAGCTGGGGAAGGACATTCCTCTTACTTTACTACCTCTAGCCTCCCAGTTTCACATAAGTAGATTAAAAAATTATCAAAGTTATACCATTGGAAAACACATGTAATAACAGACCCAGAGATAAAGATACACTAAAAGACTGAGATTTAGTAGTAAGTATATGACTGTGGAATATGTTCCCTCCCCCTCTCCTAACCAGCACACTACCAGAAGACAAGGATAATCACAGTGAATTACAACAGAGAGCTGCAGGTATGAGGAATGTAGTAACTCTAGTATCCTCACAATTTTTTGTAAATCTAAAAGTGTTCTAAAATACAAAGTTTATTTTAAAAACAATTGTATTTTCATATTCAAAAATAGACAATCAGAAAGGGAAATTTTAAATTCTATTTACAACAGCATAAAAAAATAGGAAATACTTAGGGAGAAATATGACCCAAAAAAGCTTAAGACTTGTACACTAAAAATAATAAGATAACCTATGGCCGTGGCCCCTGAGCTGCGGCTCGTGAGCCACATGTGGCTCTTTGGCCCCTTCCACAAAATACCACGTGCGGGCGTGCGTACAGTGCGATTGAAACTTCGTGGCCCATGCCCAGAAGTCGGTTTTCAGCCTGGGCGAGTCTATTTTGAAGAAGTACTGTTGATATTTGGCTCTGTTGACTAATGAGTTTGCTGACCACGACCTACGGGAAATTAAAGATCTAAGGAAAAGAAAAGACATGCTGTGTTCATGCATGGAAACACTTGATATTCTTTAGATGTCATTTCCCCAATTTCAATCAAATTCCAAAGCAGGCTGTTTTTATATTTATGAAGCTAATTCTAAAATTAAAATGCAAAGTAACTATAATAGCCAAAAGAACTTTGAGAAAGAACAAAGTTGGAGGACTAGCATTACCTAATTTGAAGACTTAAAACAGAGTAATCAGGAGTGTTGTATTTGGCATCAAGATATATAAATATGTTCATCAAACAAAACAGACAACCAAGAAACAAACCTATACACATATGGACAGCTGACTTTCTACAAAGGTGGAAAACAATTCCATGTAAAAAGGATAGTTTTTCAACTAAATATCCATATGCAAAAAAGTAAACTTTGATGTATATCTAGTACTATATACAAAAAGTAACTTGAAATGGATCACAGATGTAAATGTAAGAACTAAAACTACAAAACTGCTATAAGAAAACATGGGAGAAAATCTCAGTTACCTTAGGCTTAATGATTTCTTTAAAAGAACACAGAAAGCTAGATATGAATTTCTGAAAATAAATAAATTTTATTTAATCAAGAACATATACTCCTTAAAAGACACTGTTAAGAAAATAAAAAGACAAGCCAGAGACTGAAAAAAATATTTGCAAAACACATACCTGACAAAGGACCAAAAATCTTTCGCGACTTACTAATGATATAAATAACTCAATAAAAGTTTGCAAAAGATTTAAACAGATACTAAGGAAAGAAAGTATATATATATAGCCCATAAGCACATGAACAGATGCATGAAATCATTAGTCATTAGGAAAGCAAATTAACCACAATACATACCTATTAGAATAGCTAACATTAGATTCCGCACACCAAGTGTTGGTGGGGATATGGAACAACTGGAACACTGATACACTGGTGGCGCAAATGTAAAATAAAATAGTGCAACCACTTTGGAAAAAAGTTTACAGATTCTTCCAAAGTTAAACAAATATCCATCACATGAGTTAATCACTCTATCTACTCTTCAGTATTTATCCAAGAGAAATAAAAGCATTTGTCCATACAAAGACTCACAGAACAACATTCAAAACAATTTTATTTGTTTAGCCCTAAACAGCAAACAACCAAAATGTCTATGTGGTATATCCATACAATGGAATACTACTCTGTGACAAATAGAAATAAGCTCTTTATTATATGTGATGACATGGATAAATCTCAGAATAGTTATGGTGTGTAAAAGTAGCCTGACAAAAGAATGTATACTCTGTGATTTCAATTACATAACATTTTAAAAAATACAAACAAGTTCCTAATGGACAGCAAATCAGTGGTTGCCTAGGGATTATCAACGTAGGGTGAGGTTATAGAAGGGTAATGAGGAAACTTTTGGGAGTGCTGGCTAGGGCTACTATCCTGATTGTGGGATAATTTTATAGGTACATAAAGATGTCAAATCTGACGAAATTTCAATATTAGTAAAACAAATGTACACCAAAAAAATCTCCAATTATACACCTGTTAGAATCTATTCATATCTATAAAAGCCTAAGCGACCAGTCGACCAGTCGCTATGACCACAAGAGGGCAGATGCTTAATTCAGGAGCTGCTCCATGGTGGTCAGCACTTCCACAGCGGGAGCATCGCTCAGCTCACTGACAGGCACCAGACACCAGGCTCATGGCTGGCGAACGCTGCTTAGCCTCTCCCGATTGGGACTAACTGGGCACAAGCCAGCAGCAGGCACAGCGGGGCTGGGTGACTGGGGGCAGCGTGGCACCCAGCCTGGGCTTGGCTCCTCCCTGACCACCTGCCGCAGCCCAATCCCCGCAGGCCACGCTGAGGGACCCCATGCTCCAGGCCTCTAGTATTTTAATAATCTTCTAAAATGTTTTCAAAGAACTTCTAATGACCTGGGAAAATGCTTATGGTCTAAAATTGAGTGAAATTCCTTAAATATATAACTTAATATACAAGGTCAATTACATTGAAAGGTTATGTACACACAGGTAAAAATATATCTGGTTAGAAACAGATGTAGATTACTAAAAGTCTTCCCTGGGTTATGGAATCATGGGTGATTTAAATTTTCTTTACACTTTTCTCTATTTCCCAAGGTTTTCTTTGTTGATGCTGTTTTATTTTATTATCATTTTTTAAAATAAATTTTTATTGATTTTTAGAGGGAGAAAAAGACAGAGGAATAGCAACATTGATGAGAGAGGAACATCATCGATTGGCTGCCTCCTGCATGCCCTCTACTGTGGATCAATTCCGTAACTCGGGCATCTACACTGACTGGGAATCGAACCTAGGACATCTTGGTTCCTGGATTGACACTCAATCACTGAGCCACACCGGCTGGGCTTGAAAATTATTTTTATTTTACCTGAGATTGCAAATGTCTTTTTATGCAGGAAATTAAAGAAACGGTGAAGGGAAGAATTTGAGTGATTATTTATCCTGACAACTGATTCCAATATAGGCATCACAGACCCTTAAAAGATCAAAGAGAAGACTCTGGAAGCTCATACGTGAACCAAGTATTATCTGTGACTTCGTAATTTGTTTCACACTCACATGAACTATTATTTTTTCAAATAGATCCCCTGAAATTCAACCTTACTGAATCTGTACAACCTCTATTTTTCACATCAATAGGTACCAAAAGTAAAAAACAAAACAAAAACCTACTAGCATAGAGGTCCTCAAAAACTGATTCCCTTCTACTTATTGCCTGCAGGCTGCTTTACTGGAATGTCTTATGCTACTGCACCGTATGTAGGAAGGGCTAAGCAGTGTCGTTCACATTCAGTTAATAAGTTCCATTACATGTTCCTATTTCTCTGCTATGACTTTTTCTTATATTCTAAGCTGCTCTAAAACCTGTGCTGTGTGTGTTCTTACACTGTTCAGACCCCAGAACATAATTTGAGTTATAAAGGTAAATTAGTAATCAAATGCTAAAGTGAAACATGCACTGTGCCCAGAATGGCTTTGTAAAAGCTATTTTAGTTAAACATTCAGGCTTTCTCCTTATGTGAGACTGAGATTACTAAATTTGAGTCCTGGTTAGGTGTGGCATTACCAGTCTGCGATTGATCATGGGGAAATCATTTAATGTATGCTGAGACTTCTACAACTGCTTCGTAACAATCCTCCCCAAAATTAAAGTCAACAAATAACTTAATTACCATTATAAAATATACTACGAAAAGCAGAGTCATTAATAATAAACCATTCGTTGTTCAAAGGCATTTAGTTTACCTCAAAGAATTATTCTCTGCTTTTTGCCTGCCAAGTTCACTTTCGGTATCCATTGCCTTTCTTGCTAGTGATTTCATTTCTTTCTCCACAGTGGTTATGGTCTCCTTCATCAAAGTCATATTTGACATTTGCTCCATACGTTCATCATCAAGCTACACAAGTAGGATGACAAGATTACTGCTCCCCTATCTACTGCATTTTTTACTCATTATAAAAACATAGTACAGATGAATTTATAAATGCATACAATTAAATTTGGTAAGAGAAAGTCAAATTCCATTAATTCTGTTTATATAGTCATAATATCTCAAATATAGCATCTCAAATCCTTCATTAATAAAAAAGGTGATGCCTCACATTTAAATTCAGTTTACATATATTTTTCTCATTAGTTTTCATTTCACCATCATTTTCTCTACTCTAGCTACTCTTTAGGTAGAATAATCCAGTTTCTCTGTATCTGGAAATGTTCTCTGTAATGAAATACAGAGATGAAAATTGTGCTAAAATCCCTGAGAACGCATCCCTAAT